TTCTGGGCAAGGGTCACAACCCCAATTGCCTCACCAAAAACAACAACAAAAAAAAGTTGTGAGGATCAAATGAGACAACAACATAAGTACATTGTGAGGTCCTCAAAGGCAGGAATTGTCTTCTACCTCTTTTTGTATCCCTAGCACTTAGCACAGTGCCTTGCATATAGCAGGTGTTTAATAAATGTACTGACTGTGAAGCCCTAAATAAATAGGAGCTGTTATTATTACCCACCTTTCAGGATACAGTTCAAGTCCTGTGTAATTCCCTCTGTAGACAGAGGCTCATTCATGCACTTTATCACATAATGGCTTTGAATCATGCCTTAACCACTGTTCAGTGTTACAATGAAGTGGAATAAGTTCTGCGTCTGATGGTCAAAGATCCTCAGTTCAAATACATCTCTGCCACTTAACTACTTACGTGACCACAGGCAAGTTGCTTCTCCAGTCTTGTTTCTTCATCTATAAATTGTGGAGGTTGGCTTACATGACCTCTGAGGTCTAAATCTCTAATCCATCATGTAAATCTGTAATCCTATATGTCTAAAACTATAATCCTGTATGTCATCTCACCAAATATATTGTAAGCTCCTAGAAGACAGGGGCCATCTTAATATTTCTTCTGTACCTTCCTGCATACAGAAATAATGCTAGATAGATGGTTCTAGACATGATAGATCAACAAGTATTTACTGACTAAATAAATGAAATCCAGGTCTTTGAAGATGTTGTTGACATTCACTTTCAAGTCACTTGGTTTAATACAAGCATTACTTTCTCACCTAACAAATAAAGCTGGATAACCAGAAAGTTTAGCATATGCAGGTTATACTAGTTCAATGAATTTTCTTGTTAACTCAAGATGAATTAGAAAACCCTTTGTGCTTAAAATCTGAGATTTCCTGCCAAAATATAACATGCTAAGCATAATTTAGTACTTGATGATTAAAGATCTTGCCCTACCTTCAAAGTCATAGTTATGAAATACCATCTGCATATTGTCCTTATCCTCTAAATACCCTTCCTTCTCCCCTCTTTCTATAAGTGCAAGACTAGCGTATAGAACCTTTTTCCCTAATGAAGAGGAGTGAACCATACAGGGTAAGAATCCAGGGTCACTTTAAGTAAAAAAGAACTTAGCTTTTAAGAATGAAATGCAAAACATTCCATTCATCAACTTTTAAAATTAACCATATAAAACTGCAATAAATTCAATTATAAATGTATACTTTAATTTCATATTTTGTAATTATACCTTGGGGTAGAGGGTAGGGAGAAGGGAACAAAATATGACAAAGGTAGAGAATAGCTACTTGTAAAACAAAAAAAGGTCAGAGATACCTTTAGGTGACACATAGAGATATAACCCATTATTCCATAATCACAACTCATACACATACAGATACATTTCCCCATCTAGAATATAACCATTAGAGATTTAAAGCTGTGCTGTTTTTACATTTACAGGATGGTAGTTGGTCTCACGATTAAATTAAACAATCAATTATTTATCATAATGAGGAAAATTGTGGTGAAAGACAGCATCCAAGGACCTTAAAATATGATCAGGAAGGCTGTGGAATTAAGGTGAATGTCATAACCAACCACAGGACAATGGCCTCAATGTGTACTTAGCATGTACCAGCCACACCCTTCAAAGTTTCTTTCTGAATAAATCCTCAGCAGTAGGTTTTGGGTGTGTGTGTGTGTGTGTGTGTGTGTGTGTGTGTGTGGGTGTGGGTGTGTAAGAGAAAGAAAGAGAAAGAGAGACAGAGAGAGAGAGAGAGAGAGAGAGACAGAGACAGAGATCTTTTTCTCTTAAAATTCAGGAGTAGGGAAAAAATTGAGGATTTCAGTTGACCAAACACATAAACTTAGCTTTGTTAATTTCAATACTCCAAAATTAACAAATGCTCCCAATGCAAATCTACTGAATAGAGAAATTGTGCAACTGATGCATGAAGGATGAAAATGAGGGAGGAGAACATTGAAGGAAATCCTGTAAGATCTGTCCTACCAGTAGTAGTATTATCCCCATTTTATAAATAGGGAAACTGAGGCCCAGAGAAAGCAAATTAGTACATCCATGGTCTCTGTCAGTAAGCATCAGAGGGAAGATTCAAGCCCAGTTCTTCCTGACTACAAGCCCAGCAATCAATCTGCCATGACACATTGTATCTCATTGTTAATTGTGAAAACTTAACCATCTAACTCCCTCATATTCCAATGATCTCTTCCCATCCAAACTGGATTGACTCTCTTCACTTTTCAAACTTCTGAGATTTATCAGCTTTGATTTATCCTGCTAATTGATTCCTCCTCAAAACTCTCACCATTGGGCTTCCCCGATATTTTGCTTCCTTGGTTTTATTCATTTCTCCCAATTACTCTCACTGGCTCTTCTGCTTACCAGCTGTTATTTCTTAACATACTCAATCTAAGTATTCAGTCCCTTCATTTCTCTCACCAATCCCACAGTTTCAACACCTTTCTGAAGATGACAATTAAATCCACATTTGCAATATTCTCTCTGTCCCATAAGTCCAAACTGTCAACATTACATTTCCACCTTAAAATTATCTTACCAACACCCTCTCCTGATTCACCAATACCAACGACACCAACATTCTCTAGGTCCTCCAGGTTGAAAAGTTTCTGAATGTGCTTTTTGTCCTTTGCCTCATAACCAAATTCAGTCCAACTTTCATCTTTTAAGTAGGCAGCCCCCTAGTTAGTATCCTTGCCCCTAGTTATTTAAGTTCAATATTCATTCACATAGCTGCTCTTCCTCAGCTATATGAAAATGGTTATCTTCCTCAAATACCATTTTCAACTGGTTCCTGCCCTGTTTTGGTCTTCAGCAATTTCTCATTCTAATCTTAACTTCATTTCTTTCTGTTTCCACACAATTCCATGCTTTGTATGTGGTATTTACCTCACACACACACACACACACACACACACACACACACACACACACACTATCTTCCCCATCTCTTGTGATAATGCATGTCACCAAAATATACCTCAAAATTCACTCTCTAGGGATTCCTTAATTATCAAAAAAGCATAGATTTAGAGCTGGAAGAGACATCAGAGGTCAACTAGTCCAACTCCCTTTTTTTCTAGAAGACAAACAGAATGATAATACAGTACCCAGTAGCAAAGCTGAGATTTGAATCTAGGTCCTCTGACTTCAAATTCAATGGTCTTTCCACCACATCATAATTCTAAGTCATTTTTTATTTTTTACTTCAAGATTCCTCATAAATTATTTATTCCATTTACACTATAGTACAATGCCCCCAGAATCACTGTACAGAATCACCAAAAAAAGTGTTTTGTAAAGTAAAGGTATTTCCACGTTAACTGGTAGCCCAAAATACAACAGTGCTATATTAATGTCTGCAACACAAGAGAATGAAGATTAATCATTCAATAAAACAAATTAATTTCTTTGGTTCCGGTCCAGGTAACAGTAATGTTCTAAGTCACAAGCCATCTAGTAAAGAACACAACACAAAAAAAAGTCAAGGAACCTGGAAGAGAAAAAAGAAAGTATATTTGAGACACTAAGTTAAAATCCTTTTCATATGCCACTTCACTATATAATAAGAATCCTACAAGACAGGGATGTGATTTTTTAAACAATGTATTTTTATAATTAAGTTCCACAACAATTAAACAATTCTATATAAACCTGTCAAGTTTTTTAATGAGACTTATTTTGTACTAATCTGCACTTAAGCATTTATCATCTTAATACTGTCAGTCACTTTCTTGGGTCAAATATAGCACACAGGCGCATATATAAAATCATCACAGTTAAGAAAGCACTTCTACTTTAACACAGAAGAGTTGCAGTCTCTTGCATTATTAACATTTTTGATGCAACAAATTGTAAAGCTTTTTTAAAAAAGTATGAGTTACTCAGAAGACTCCTCACTGATACGTCATAAAAAGGACTGTCAGTGTTCCCATAAATTTTGATAAAATTTTGTTCTGTTTTGCTGTACTGGCAAGGAAATCAGGTAAGGTAAGAGGGTTGTATGCAGATCTTTTCAATTCAACTCATGCATATATGTATTCAGTCACATTCGGTGTAATATGCATTGTGCTTGGTGCTGACCCAGTCCCTTAGGAGTTTACAGAATCTCAGGCCTGAGAGAGGCTGAGATAGGTAAAGTTTGCAGCACACAAATGATCCTTCAATACCCGGTCCCTGATTTCTCCCCATCCATAGATGCCTATCTCTCTCTCTCTCAACTCTGCCTTACAGAGAAACCACCACCTTCTCTGACTACCCGCTCACAGGAGTATCTCCACCCTCCTGTCTCATTTCCTTCCTGTAACAGGTAACGCTTCCTTGCCACCAAAGCCCGCACCACCCCAAGCCCGGCCTACCGAGTATCTGCCAGCCGCCCCCTGCAGACCCCCTCCGGAGCCCCCAGCCCCGCAGCGCTCCCACTGGCTCCAGCAGGAGCCCTCCTCCCCTTCCTCCTCCGCGCCCCCCACACTCCGCACACTCCCAGACCCCGGGGCACACACTCCGGGAGGACTCGCTCGGCCCGCAGCCGGCTCGAGCATCGTCCTTGGCCTGGCCCAGCCCGGTCCGGTCCCTCGCCCCCGTCCCGCTCTCCTTCCACCACCCTGCCCCGAAGAACCGTCCGGCGAGAGGCTCCCTCTCTCGCTACTCTCCAGCGCGCGGCCGCGGGCGACCAGGCCCCTCCCCGGCCTCGCCCTTCCCTCCCTCGGGGTCCCTCGGAGGCGGCAGCTCGGGGAAACGCTTCGCGAGACCCGGGTCCGTGACAACGGGAGAAGCCGGGGGAAGCCCCGGGGCCACGACCCCCGCCCGCCCCGGCCGCCCTGCGGCCCGGGCCTCGCAGCCAGCTTGGTTTCCCGGCCGCCGGGCCCGGACTGATGGAAAGAGGAAGGAGGGCTCTTCTCCCATTCCCATTGCCGCTGCCCCCCCGGCCCGACCCTTCCCGTCCTCTCACCGAAATCCGGGGGGGACCAGGCCGCGATCACTCCCTCCCCAGTCCAGCGATGCTTCCTTCGGCCCCGCCGCCGCGCTCTTTTCACTCCCCTTCCCACCGCCCCCGACCGGCTGCTGAAGAGCGGACAAGCAGCGGCGCTCCCATTGGCTGCAGCCGAGCCTTGCGTCAGCCGGCACCGACCCGGACCGCAGAATACTATTGGCTAGCGGGCCGCCTCGTTCCCACGGCTCGATCTTATTGGTGCGTGGTAGCCCCCTGGCTCCAGGACCGCTCTTCCTCCTCCCTCTCTCTTTCTCCCTCCACCCCAACCCGTTTCCATCAGGTTCGGAGGGGGCGAGGGAGAGGGTGGAGAGAGCTCCAATTGGAGGCGGCCAATCGCGGCTCCGCTAGCGGGGCGGAAGTGGGGCTTATCCTGGCTTTGGATCCGCTGGTGGCCTGCCGAGCCAATGGGCGTGTGCCCCACGGCCTGGGCCTCCTACCGCCCAGGGGCTCGCCCGGGCCCGGGCTACTGGCCAGGGCCACTGGCCAGGGCCACACCCGTGTCTTGGGCCCGGCCACCCTTCGGGCCTTGCCGGGGAGCCCCCGACCCACGGAGGCTATCCCGAAAGACAAGGATGTCCCAGGGCGGTGCCCGAGGCCTTCCCCGGACCGGGACTCTGGAGGAGTGCTGGCTGCAGGGCACCATTGTGTGCACGGTACCTTGGCAGTGCCTTACGTGGGGCCCCAGGCATCATCGTGAACCTCCGTGAGGCGGCCAGAGCGTGGGAGGTCCGAGGTGGGGACCCCTCCGACCACCCCCACCCCCCGCCGGCCCAGGCTGGCCACCTGGCCGGCTGCCGCCTCCCAGCCTTCGGGCTTCTTCTGTGCGCACTGGCCTTTCAGTAGAGCACTCCTGAGAAAGAGACAGAGAGAGGGGGGCGGAGGCCGGCCCTGCCTCCCAGACGCTTCTGTTCTACTGCCTCGGGTTGGGGGCTCTAGAGACCCCGGCAGCCAGGTGGTTTCCAGAGTAAGCGTGGTAACTAACTTTAGAGACGCACGGCAGGAGCGTAAGGGATTAGCGCTGTTATCTGGGAGATCGACGGTGCCTCGGGCAAATCAGCTTCTGGAGCTCTTTCCATCCCTGCCTAGTATCGTACATATCTTAGAAACATTGATTAACATTTGTCGGAGGGAGAAGGAAGGGGATGAATTTCTAGGAAGTTAGAGTGAGCATGGATTTCTTTTTCAATTTTTTTGCATTGGTTGTCATAGCCAAAGAATTCATCAGGAATGTGGCCACCCTATTCTAGTGATAAACCTCTCACCTTAACTAGGCTAGTCCTTGGAAAACAGATGAAGTTTCTCTTGCCCCTGTCTTACTTTTGAAGACTTTCCCACATGGTAAAACTTTCCAGAACGTATGCTCTGCTGTCATAGCTATTTATAATTCAGAGTCACTGCCATGTGAAAATATTAGCCGGTAGAGTAGTAAATCAGTTAATATCAAGAACAAGTCATGGGGGACTGAATCAAATTTATAAGAGCAAGATCCATTCCCAAATTAATAAATGGTCAAAGGATATGAACAGGCAGTTTTTCGGAGGAAGAAATAAAAACTAGCAATTGCCATATGAAAAAAATGTTCCAAATCAAATACAATAATGAAAATTAAAACAGCTCTGGTATACCACCTCCCTCCCATCAGATTAGCTAAATTAACCAAAAAAAAAAAAGGAACATGACAAATGCTGGAGGGGTCTATAGGAAAGCAGATACTTTAAAGCTTTGAGCTGGGAATTGGTCTAATGATTTGGAACCAGTTTACTCCAAAGGATATTGAACTATGCATACCTTTTGACTCAGTTAAGTCTGTATCCCCAAGAGGCCAAAAAAAGAGCGAAAGGATCCCTATGTATAAAAATATTAGTAGCTCTTTTGTGGTGACAAAAAAAAAAAAGTGGAAACTGAGAGGGTGCCCATCAATTGGGGAATAGCTGGACAAGTTATGGTGTAGGAATGGGATGGAATACTTTTGTGTTGTAAGACATGATCAAAGGGGTGCTTTCAGAAAAAACTAGGGACGTGTATGAACTCATAGAGTGAAGTGAGCAGAACGTGAAAACAATTTGTAGAATAACAATACTGCAATCCGATCAAGGCAATGACCAACCACAATTCCAAAGGACTCATGATGAAACACTTGTATCCACCTCCAGAGAGAGATATGATGAAGTCAGAGAATAAATTGAAACATTTTCTTCTCTTTATTTTTTTTTTGAGCGGGAGGGCTCAGTTAATGTGGGAACTTATTTTGCTTAGACTATACATATTTATAACAGGTTTTGTTTTTCTTGATTTCTCAGTGGAGGAAATGGCAGAAGGAAAGGAAAGAATTCAGAACTGAAAATAAAATTGAATTTAAAAAAAAATTTAAATCAAGTTTTAGAAGAGAAAATAATAGGTATTTGGTAAAGACTTAGCTACTTTGGCTTCACATAGGATAAGTTAGGCAAAATGTGTGGTAAAAGTTAGCTAGTGCCAAAGATATACTTTTGATCTGTGCTTTCAAAATAACGAGTATTACAAATGCATGTTGTAAATATTGTACGACTATGCAGGTTTTTTAAAATGCCAAAGAAAACAGATCTTGCCCTAAAGAATTTTCAATATGAATGGAGAGAGTTGCAGAGAAAAGGTGATGAAACAAACACAAAAAAAAAATATATGTTTATATAGTTTTAGTTCTTTTCTAGAAAATATAATTTTTAAATGGGAAACAAGGAATAAAATGAATTTTAAATGCAGTTATTATTATTACACGTCTACCTCCCTATTGATCTCTAAAGCCAAACAGGGTTAGGCCTTGGAGGGGAGACTGCCTAGGAACAATAGTAGGTACAACAACCCCTAAAAGAGAGTCACCTTGGCCTAGTGGAAACAGCTGGCCTCAGATCTGGGAAGGAAGGCCTGGCTTCAAGTCCCATCTCTGCTACATACTGTATGTGTGACCCTGGATAAGTCACTTAACTGTCTTTAATGAGTTATAGATGCCTACCTCCATGGATAAAAGCATTTCCTCATCTGGACCATCCCTATCCCAATAAAATCACAGGTCTACTCCCTACTATTAGTAGAATAAGGTTCTACCTTGCAGGCCTCTCTTATGATTGATGAGATGCTGACAAGGACTACCATTTCATGAGTTGCCCAAGCAGTTCACCCTTTTTTCCTCATTCCATACCTTACTTTCCAGACTTTTCTGCTTCCTACCTGACATCTTTGCCTCTGCTCCCCTAACCCTCCAAGCCCCACCTTTAGCTTTCTTTTTACTTTTCTTTGCCCATTAGAATATAAACTTCTTGAGAGGAGGAATTAACTTTTTTTTACTTTTAGTTGTATTCTCAGTGCACATACTATGTAAGCTTCACATATGTTTGAGTTATTTTTTAATGTAGATAATATTTGTGAAGCACTTATCACAGTGCCTGGCACATAAGTGCTAAATGAATGCTAGCTCTCATTACTATCATTATTATTATTGTTTTTATGTAAGATGCTCACTTGAAAATAACACTATTTAGAATTTATTGAAATTTTGCAAAAAATACCCAACATATAACACTTTTTGGTTTGCAGAACACTTTACACATATGGACTCTTTTGATCCTTGTAACAATCTTTTGTCATCATTAAGTCATGTCCAACTCTTTGTGACCCCATTTGGGATTTTCTTGGCAGAGATACTGGAGTGGTTTGCCATTTCCTTTTCCAGCTCATTTTACAGATGAGGAAACTGAGCAAACAGGGTCAAGTGACTTGCCCGGGGTCACACAGCTGGTAAGTGCCTGAGGCTGAACTTGAACTTAGGTCTCCCTGACTCCAGGCTCTGCCACTCAGCCGTCCCAACAGTCTTGTGAGGTAGGTGCTGTTATTATTTCTGTTTTACAGATGAAGAAATAGAAGTTGAGAGAGGTTAAGTAAATATAGCAAACATTTATTGTGCTTCTTCTGTGTGCTAGGCACCATGCTAATCTGTTGGGGAAGCAAATAAGACAATCCCTACCCTCAAAAAGCTTAGATCTAGTGGAGATGAACAGGACAGGAAGCTGAAGGTTGTAGGAGGGTTGGGAGGGAAGGAAGGAGAAGGCCCCCAGGACAGGGGCATGGTGATCAATGTCAAAGCTAAGCAGCACAGCTGGTGGGAACTAAAGAGGTGGCTGGCCTCCCCCAAGGGCCCAGCTTGTCTTAGGGAGTATTCAAGCGCAAGTCTTTTGGTTCCAAGCCCAGTTCTGTATCCAACACCATCTTGGGTCATATGTCATATCTCATTTTGGAGTCTCTTAGGTAGACTTGTGTGGATGTAATTCTAAATGATACTTACCTCACAGTATAGAAAGAGCTTAATGAAAATATAAAAAAATTGTGACTTCAATTGTGTACTCCCTCCATAGTTCATTTTGAGATGTCTTATACTCTGCAGATAACCAAGACATCTAGTTTGCTTTTAAATTTTTAAGGAAAATAGGTAGCACCTTATCACTTAGAAACAAAGAAATGTTATGTTAGTAAAAATGTGGAAAACCTAATTCTGTATGTCCAGTTCTTTGCAGTTGCATTCTGGTTTACATGCATTCTTGACATTCATTATTTCTACAGAACACATTTGGTGCTCATCTCTAAAAAGGATAACAAAACAATATCTGTTTGAGAGGTAGTCCAGGAATATGTGAGCTAATTTTCCTTAGACCTCCTGAAATGCAGGTCAAGTGGAACAAAAGTGGACCTATGGTCTGGAGAATTCAACCAAATCCCAGACTCCACTAATGATTCTTTGTATGAGAACATTGAACTGCTGAATCTGCTTGTTCTCATCTGTAAGGTGTTGATGGTGGTGTGTCATGTTACCTATGTCAGGTCTGATGAGGAGGAGGAAATATTTCTTTAAATATTTTAAATATTTCTTTAGATGCAAGGTGTTGTATATTTTCTATCATTATGAAATAAAAGGAGAGATCTGCTGTTATCAAACATCGTAGGGGCAGGACTTTTTAAAGAGTCATTCCCGTTACTAACTAGAAACTAGTTATTTAAGTGGTATCTATATTTGTATGCTGAACACAAGTTGACTTAAATAGGCTAACAAGATTAACTGCTCATCTTCATATAGTATTCCTCCATTTCAACATTTCTGATTATAAGCTGTAGATTATGATTTTTCCATTGCCTGTCTTTTAACTGATACAGTTTGACAGTGTTTTGTGTCAAAGGCCAGAACTAGAATTCCTCTGAAGTTTTGGATGTGACCAACTCCCAGTTATCAAATAAATGATCTGTTATGGGAAGCCCACGCACTGAGCCACACCTTTTAATAAAAGGTTGCCAATATGTACATTGTTATGACTATTAAAAGAAATAAACTGGAAAGTATTATTTTTTTCTGCAATTCCAGATCTTTGATTCTTTAGGTCAGAGAACAGTATGCAAATAGGGACTGAAAGCTACAATGTCATTGAAATGTTGACAGAGCTCATTGTTTAAAAAAAAAAATCTGTAGTTGACCTAGTTTCTTTAGTAACTCATGGTCTCCTCATGAAAGGTATTGGAACAGAGTAATTTACTTGAGAATAAAACCAAAAAAATCAGAATTGTAAAACTGGATTGAACCACAAGAGCTCATATAGTCCAGCCCCCATCATGTAAGGAACAGTGAAGTCATACAAAATAAATACATTGTTGACTTACAGACAGGTCTACAATGACTGGAATGTTGCTCTGGAAGACGGAATGTATTATTGAAAAGGACTAGAATAGGTAATAAAGAGCTGAGTAGCATTCTGTATTAAGAGTAGATACATGTGAAAAAAAAATAAGTCTAGGAATAGGGAGGAGGGAGAGAGAGTTGGGGGAATAAAAAGTATTCATTCAACAAATATTAATATTAAACATCTCTGCTGTGTGCAAGGCACTAAACGTTGAGTCCTAATTACTGAAGGCACAAATAAAGAATTAAAAAACAGTATGTGTTCTCAAGAAGTGTCTCTTCTACCATGTGATAGAGCATGTATACCAAGGGTTCTTAACCTGGAGTTCATAGGGGAGCTATGGAGAGATTTCAAGGGCTCCATGAACTTGAATTAGGGGGGGAAAATGGCATTTTTATTTTTACTAACCTCTAAATGAAGTTTTTCATTCCCTTCAATTTTTTAGACATGTCATTCTGAGAAGGGGTCCATAGGCTTCACTGAACTACCAAAGGGGTCCAGGATACACACACCCAAGATTTAGAAGCCCTGAAGTAAATGGATAAATAAACGCAAGATAATCGGAAGAGAGTCGTAGAGAGAGAACTAACTAGAGGGATCTGGATAGGCTTCCCCGCGGAGAAGGCCCTTGAGCTTAGCCCCCAAAGCTAAGAAAGGAAGATCAGGACTGGCAGGTTGATTGATAAATCTTATAAGGGAAGATCTTCCATGCCCCCTGTATGATTCTAAACATTGGGCTATAAGCCAGAGTGTGGTTATCTATGTTGACCTGAGAATTTAACCAGTTCTCAGGAGATGTGCTCTGGGAACCTGGCCGGTTCATCAGAACATATCAAGTTATAATATTCTAAGATGTTTTGCTTGCTCCAGGAACTTGGCCAGTTCCTGGACCAAGTAAAAACATCTACTAGAGTCATGGGCACCTCTGGCACAGGGCCTTCTTTGTTAGAGGCCCTATTTAAATCCTAATTGGGAAAGCCATCTTTGGATTCCTCACCCATGGTGAGGATGCTCTGCCTGGGACTTTCCCAATTGGGACCCTGAAAGCTGTGCCCCGGGAATCCCCAGCTTGGACTTCAGGTGTTGGTGCTTCCCCGAACTGGGGATGTTTTCTTATATTATTGCTATTCTTTGTATTCTTAGCCTGACTATAGTCATATTGCCAATTGTATGTTGCTGTAAATCTACCTTTTCTATACCTATATTATAATCTTAATTAAAGCTACCTTTGCTTCTCTCTCTAGGAGTGTGTCTTATTGTAGGAGCAAATCTGAACCACATTTTCTTCCTTAATCACACACAGATGTAAGGAGGGAGTGCTTTCTAGGCAGTGTCAGAGACAGTCTCAGAGACCACAGTGGATTAGTGAGTTTCAGGATGAGTAAAGAGTCTCATTTGTCTGGAACAAAGAGTATGTGCATGTACAAAAAGTAAGCAAAAAGTCATGTGAAATAACTTTGAAAAGTTGGATTGGATCCAGATTGGCTTTAAATGCCAGGCTGAGAAATTTGCATTTTATCCTAGAGACAATGATGAACCATGGAATATTTTTAAGTGAAGAAGTGATATAGTCAGATTGTGTTTAAGTCATGTCATTTTGGCTAGCAATGTGGAGGATGAATTGGAGAGGAGAGGCTGTAAACAGAGAAACCAAATAGGAAGCTGTTGTGGTAGTCCAGGTGAGAAGTGATAGGTTTCTGAGGTAGTATGGAGCAGAAGAGATTAGATGGGAGTTAGAACCAACAAGACCTGGAAACTAGGGGAGTGAAGAATTCAGGAGAACTCGAGGTTATGAACCTGGATGGCAGCAAGGATAGCAGGGCCCTCAACAGAAATAGGGAAAAGTGGAGAAGAAGATGTAGGTTATCGGGGAAATAGGAGTTCCAAATTGAACATTTGAGATGCCTAAGGGACATATTGGTAGAGGTATCAAGCAGGCATTGGTAGTACAATGAATACTCCAGACTCCCTCTCCCAGAGCAAGGCCAGCTGCTTCTCTCCCCTCAGAGTTCTGAGATATCCTAATTGAGGGTTAAAGTATCTCTTCTTTAATTTTATTGGCTTGGGCTCCCATACTGCTGTATTCCTCCTAAGGTTAACCACCAATGACTAGAGCCTAGTTTCATTTAACCAATTAATATAAATTAACATTTAATTGGGACATTTGCTTCAAAGACAGAATAGAATGCAATTTCAGCCCACCAGGTAAAGTAGGTAGGCAGGATTCACCCTACCAGGTTTACTTCCAAAAATGGCATAGCCAATGGGTGAATGAATCTGTCTCTCTGGTACTATTGGATTGGGCCAGGCGACCAGAACGTCACTTCTCACCATCCTGCTTCCAGCAAACTTGGACAAGGATTCCAGCTCTTAGATTCTAGCAGCTTTCTTTTTTGATCTTTGAAAGCTCACAAGTTCACAGGCATCTCAAATCTTCACCAAAAAGTAGGGAAAGAATAGACACAACAAAAACAAAAGCAACAGTAGAGTCAGGCCCTCTTGACTTCATGCCAGCTCTGGGTGGGTGAGGCCAAGGGCCTTCCCCAACCCAGAAGACCACAGCAGCTTTTCTTCTTTCTCACGCCAAAGTAGCCAAGACCTAGAGACTTGCCCTGGATAATCCATGCCTTTTGAATGTATCTTATTATTGGTAACACAGTCAACAGTCTGTCTCCTTGTCACGTAGTTAGCAGATCCGTACCTGCTGTAGAGCAAGGGCAAGTGCTCCAAATCAGGGAACAGAACACTTTTTATCACACATCATCTGACTTCGCAAAAATGGGTTCCCTAGTCTCTTCCACATGAAATATTTCATCAGCATCACCATCACCACCCCTATTACAGTAATATAAAACTGAAGTTCAAGAAAGAGATTAGAGCATAGTGGAGAGCATTTGAATGAAGATCAGGTAGAAGAAGAGATACTGTCATAAAGTTATACCACAGATCACATGGACAATTTGGAAGACTGATCATAACCCTTGTTTAAAGGCATAGTATAATAGCAATGGAAGACTCTTATCCAGACACTTATCAGTAGGAGCTTGCTCTGTCTACCAAAAGCAGAGCAGAAAATAAATTCCCTTAGTGATACACTTTAAGAAGTGGAGGAACCAAGGGAGGCGATTTCTCTTCTGGATCTGATTTTTACCAACAAGGAAAAGAAGGAGGAAGGGAAGAAAGAGAAGGGAAAGGAATGCAATAAGTACTTACTATGTATGCCAAGGCACTGTGCTAAGAACTTTACAAAAAAATCTTATTTGCTGGGGTTAAAGTGGTAGGAACCTTGGCGGGAGTAATTGCTCATTTTAGAATTTGTTATAGAAGAGAGGATAGCCAAGTACAGACTGATATGCCCCCTAGGTTTTGGAAGAGCATATTCCAAAGGGTTTAGAGAAAGGAAAGTTAAGATTCCATGTAATAAGATTACATGGAAAAAATCAACCCAGGAGCTATGAGAACCTATCAAAACTGAAATTCTGATAAAATGAACAGAAGTCTGGTCAGAAAAAAAAAAGAGTTGTCTTAAGAGACATCTTTGGATTACCTGAGAACTCTTTCACCAGTTTAAATTTTGAAAAGACCTACATAAGAGATAGAAGCAAAGTCAGGTAACTGGACAATGATAAAAGAATGACTTGTTACCCTGAGAAGAGTATCAGGAGCACCACAGTTAGGATAAACTGAGCTTATAAAGTAAAGCTAAGAACAATCAGAAGGGGTTTATTTGTTGCTACAATGAAAAAACAAAAAGATATCCAAGGAAGGGATGGAATGATGTGCATTATGGTAGCTTAACTCTTCTTTTCTTTGGCAAGGAGTTTGACCTCTGGACTAAAAACAACAGAATCAAAATAACTTATAGAGAGATGAAACTCAAGGAAGGAGAGATTAAGAAATTACTTAATCTCTCTTTGATAGGTTCAAGTCACCAGGGCCAGATGAACTACATGTCAGGATATTAGTACCAAAAGAACTGGTTGATGTGATCACTGAGCAGCTGTTGATCTTTGAAAGAACATAAAGATTGGGAGTAGGTTTGAAAAGGTGGAAAGCAGAAAGTACTGTCCTGATTTTTGTAAGAGGGAAGAAAGTAGAATTGTGAAATATATGCCAGTGAACTTTACTTTGATTCCTGTCAAGATTCAAAAAGGTAATTAGAGATACTTTTAGGAAACTTCTAGTAAAGGGAACAGTTATCACAAAGGGTTATCAGGACCTCTTCTAGAACAGGCCAAACTCAACGTTGGACCCAGAGAACAGAAGATAAAAGGCATTTCCCAAGGCAGCTAAGTAGTACAGTGGATAGAGCACCAGCCCTGGAGTCAGGAGGACCTGAGTTCAAATCTGACCTCAGACACTAGCTATGTGACTCTAGAAAAGTCACTTCACCCCAATTGCCTAACCAAAAAAAAAAAAAGACATTTCCCTTCTCTCATTATAAAGGTGGGGGATTGCAACATGTGGAAAGTTGCATTATCCATTCAATATGGTTGCCAGTTTTCCTTATCTGTTTTTCTTTTATTAGGGAAGGTGGGAGTGAGATAGAGGGAAAGGGAAAGGAGGGAAAGTTCTAGGGTTCATAAAGAAAGGACTGTGGTATAAAAACCAAAATATATTAGATTTTAAAGTAACAGGTTGTGCCAGAGTAACCTCTTTCTTTTTGACAAGTTTATTAGACTGGTATTTCAAGAGAATGTCATAGATGTTGTTTACCTAGATTTTTAGCAAGGCATTTGGCAACAAAATTTCATGCCATTCTTTTTTTTTTTTTTTTGGCAAGGCAATTGGGATTGACTTGCCGAGAGTCACACAGCTAATAAGTGTTATGTGTCTGAGGCTGGATTTGAACTCAGGTCCTCCTGACTCCAAGACCAGGCTCTATTCACTATGCCACCCAGCTGCCCCACTATTCTCTTTTTAAAATATATTTATTTAATGTTTATTTTTCCTAATTATGTGTAAAAACAATTTTTAACTTTTTTTTAAATTTTGAGTTTCACATTCTTTCCCTCCCTCTCTACTCTCCCCAATCATTGAGAAGACAAACAATTTATTAGAAGTTATACATGTGCAGTCATGCAAAATATTTCTATATTAGTCATATTATGAAAAAAATACAGACCAAAAAAAAATCCAAGAAAAATAAAGTTTAAAAAAAAGTACACTTTGATCTGCATTCAGACTCCATCAGTTCTTCCTCTGGAAGAAGATAGCATTTTTCATCATGAGTCCTATGTAATTGTCTTACATCATTGTATTGCTGAAAATTGCTCAATTAATAATTGTATAATATTGCTATACAATGTTCTCCTGGTTCTGCTGATTTCACTTTGCATCAATTCATCTAAGTCTTTCCAGGTTTTTCTGAGAGCATTTTGCTGATCATTTCTATAGTACAGTAATATTCCATTACAATCATATACCACAACTTATTCAGCCATTCCACATATGATGGGCATGTCC